TTAAAAAAGGTAAATAATAAATCGGCACAATAGTCAAGGCGAATGTATATATTATTATTGTAATAAATGTGAAACGATCGCGTTCGCTCGCACATCGATGGCGCGATCGCATTGTGTTTACGGCAGACTTTGATACAGTGCATTATTGTTACAGCTAATAATTGTTTTGCGTTGTAGAGACTATATATTCTATAGCAAAATATAATTGATTTATAATAAAACGTTATTGAATTGTACGAATGCGATCACGTTTGATTATTGAATTATATTGAATTCGCCACGCGTGTATATGACGTTTTGCAAAACGGTTCGTGTCGGGATTACACCCGCAAGTATGCCGCACGTTTTGCGAACGAAATGGCACGTTTATTCAATATACTGCTCACGAAAGATATCACGGTTTATAGAGGTAATGTAATAAGAGAAATGTCCGCGCGCAGCTACTCTATGTCTTTTCGGTACTCGGAGAATTTTCTAAAAATACTTGAAAAGTCACGGGAGGAACAAAAATGCACGTCGTATGAACTGTCGCATTGCCAACGTCGTCGTTGGCCAACGAGTATATATATATTCCTAAAATCAGAAAAATGTGAATAGATTATTCTCTCCGTTTTCTCTCCGTAAAAATACGTACCATTTATCTGACGTTACTTGCGCACATCCTCGAATTCAAGAACTTTTTAAGTCTTTTAAATAGGAGAATTTTGCAGGAGTTATATCATCATGCGATATTTGGATCGATATATATGTTGCATGTCCTAGAAAATATATATTTAAATGTAATTTATACCACACTCAATAAATAATCTAATAATATTTCTATCATCTTTCTCTCATGTTAGGAAATTTACTTTAACAAAATTTTTAATCATATAGAAACTTGTGTAAACTTAATGAAACTTGTAGCTTCGCGAGTCAGGATAAAAAACAAAATTTAACTTTGAAATTAATATTTCAGGCGAATGTTTAACATAAATTACTTTAAGATTTAATTAGCTGGATATGTTTAATATTTTAAAGTTTAATATTTAATATGTTAAAAATTTTCAAAAAGAAATAAAATTAGAGGATAAATCAATTCATAGAACTCATTAATTAATCTGTTATTATCGATCAAAAAATTTTGTGAGAGTTTATGCTTAATTTCCATCATGCATATACATTTATTTCGACTTGTAAATTTACTCTAAATTTGTCAAGATACTTAACAAGCGTAACGAAAATCTTGGTAATTTATTGAAATGTTCTTTGAAACGAGGACAAAATTCAGAATTCTGAATTTTATTCCTGACACGAATAGAGTTATCCGAAAGATTTTCCAACAAGGATACGCGCCAAGATGGATATAAATTTCATATCTTCTTTAAGCTGTCAATTAAAAGCGTTAGAAATTCACAGCCGCATCGAACTATTCTTCTCCATAATTACTTTCATTAAGGTAACCGACTCCGGCTGTCAGCAACGATTATCGTCAGTGATGAAGTGAAAATCATTATTTCACAGGAGGAAACGCGAAGTGCGATCGACTATGATACATTCGTTTATCGATAACCAGCGTCCGTTTTGCCTGTGACATATCGTCATACTCGAGTGAATGTATACTAGCCGCAAATCTTCGATTGTCTCTGTTTCATGCAACTGTGTTAAATTTTAATATCAAATTAATCATTCTAACATGTGCGGAAGATTTTGGTTTTGCGTTTCATCAGCGGTTTTCTTTTCTATAGATATGAGAAAGTAAATTGCAAATTGACTTTTTTAGACATAAATATGTATATTTATGTAGACATTTTTTATGCGTTATAAATATATTTTTATACATTTTATATACTGCTATTATTGCATACAAGCAGTACGTATTTAAATATCACAGAATTCCCATAATTTGATATTTATTAAAATAAATGTCATAAGAATATAAATTACACCATAATGTATAAATGGGATCGCGTCATTTGCGTAAAAATATCATGATCTTTTATTAATATCATCTTTTTGAAAGCATGATAAATACGTAAAAATAATATAATCCCTCTCTCCGCCTTTTTTGCAACATCATGTGACATAATGCCTTTATAAAAGCACACATTTTAATGCGGACAGTGGCCGCATAATCTTGGCTAAGCGCCAATGTATGACTATTAAAACAGCCATTACAAATTTACATCATAATTCCTTGCCTACAAGAGAGAATAAATAACATTGTCAAGTTAATTAATGCGGGGGCATAATAATGGAAATGAATCAACTGTTTTTATTATATGAAAACGAAACATATTCACATTTAAAAATATTGTTAAGAACATCCATTGTGAAAGTGCTTATCGTATGTTTATAAATGTACGCGAGATGTGCATATATATATGGTAGATGTTTTTCTTTCGAAATAGTATGTGTCACTAAACTCCCATCACATACACACATATCCGAGGTTTTGCGCGAGACGATGTAATACAAACAGTTCACGTTCTTCGCGGGACAGACAATTGCCCTGGGTATCTTGCCATCGCAATTACAAAGGTACGCAGTGAAATGTAATTTAAACTGGCGGAAAGGAAGGAAGGAAAGGAATCTGGGTTGTGTGTCGGGCGCGCGACGCGAAAGTGTCGATGTCGATCGGCGGAACGTGACGGCGCTTTAACGAGGATTCAATTTTGTCACCGGACCGGGGAAAAAGAGAAAGAGAGGAATCGAAAAAACTTTCGGGAAGTTTTTCCTTTTCTCTCTCTTTCTCTCTTTTTATTACCAGACGGCGTCCGGAAAACTTTCTCTCTCGCGCGCGGTTTCGGCCGCGAAACTTTCGCCCGCGGCGGCATAACCGGCGTAATTCTCCCTTCAGTTCTCCCCCAGTTAAGAAACCTTCGTGAAATTTGATCAACCGGATATCACTATGTTCGTAGCGCCAACTCAAATTTCATTCGCTTCGTCGAAGTGCCGTCAGAAGTTTCTCACCTTCGCGACTTGGAGTCAAGAGACAGATGTCTGTCTCGGAAAACGTCGCTCCAATTTCGACGTTCTTCTCGGAAGAAGCTAAATGCAATTTGATTTCCGAGAGTGACTCCCCGGGAATGCAAATGTGTTCCTCGGTGATATCGCGTTTATGCGCATTTGTTGCGTTATGAGCGACGGTTTCGTTCGGTTGCAGCTTTTCCGAGTCCTTCGCCAGAAATGTCGGGAGAAGATAAGCAGAGTCTAAATTTGGATTCAAGACAGGTATCTCGACTTGCTATTTGTTGCGCGTGTCTGTCTTTAATTGTAAATCCTCCGGAATGGCTTTTGTTTTGTTTCATTTTCTCGGCGCGAATCCCATTAACTTGGTCGAGCTGGTCGGTTACGGAACGAGATGTCCGGCAACGCGAAGCCGGAGAGATTTACTCTCTTTCTTTCTCTCTTTTTCTCTGTCTCTAACATAAGACTCGAGGTAGACTCGTCGTATCTCGTAAATCTGAGTTGTACAATTATACTCGCTCATACGATGACATGTTATCCGGATTTTAATCGTTTCAACGCTTCGATAACGAGAAGCATCGTCAGTTAAACTTACTTACGGTGTGAGAGCTTTCGGTAATTATGCGGCGCTTTCGTGGGAGATTGAAGTGCTTCTTACTCTCACCGGAGTTAGTATCGTAATTTCGAAAAAAGCGAGCGGCAATTCAATGGCCTGCCGTAGTTTCGCAAAAACAGAACGTTATTACCAGATCGCCTCTTCTCTTCCTCCTGCCCCTCATACGGATAAAATGAAATGACGTCTGTGCATTTTCACCTGTCATATCACCCCGCGTGCTCACGATTCTCTTGCATTTATGTAAATGATGAATGCGCGGGCATTATTACATTCTTTCGGGAGAGTGGTTAATCATTCGTCAACGTCCCATGAACTTTTGCGATAATGAAGTGCGCCTCTCTTCATATCCTGGATCAGTTTAGTTCTTCGTATTATCGCGGGTTGACGTAGATCAGTGATGGCTGCAAATAATAAAATGGAGAAATCTGAATGCCGAAATCTGGTACCTTTGATAATATTGATTTATTCGCATTTCTCTACGTGATTTTTTATTATTCCTTTTATTGTTAAGCTCGAAAAATGTTTCCAAGTATATTATTAGATTTTAAATATGCGCGTCTCTTCTGCATATTAATATTTGAGTCAGTTTAGTAGTTGTTAAATTTTCTGACATTAAAGGAACCGAATTAAAGCTGCTGTCGTCAAAGTGTTAAATATATACGCTCACGTATTACTATCTCTAGAAGTTTATATTCCGTAATTTGGTAGCGTTTGACGTAAATGGATTAAATATTAACGCAGTTTTACTTTGAGCGATTTGCTTGTAACTCAACGTTTATCGGTTTAATGGTTATAGCAATACTTTAGGTTACATCTTAAAAGACGTATAAAAAAAGAAGAGCTATAAACAATTTAACTTTTATAAGCACTCTTTTGAAGAAAACATTCTTTAACCATAATAGGCCTTTCTCCTTTGAAATTTATTACATAATAAAGTTTCATATCAAGATTGTTAATATAATGCAATATTGTTTTTTATGTAGAGATGTTTTTTTAAACAGAAATTTACAAATATTTACTTTTGAAAAATTATTTCTCAAAAACTGAGATATACTATTGTTAAAATCCGAAGTTATTTAGCGTGATATATACAACAATTAAATTATTTTTTTTAGATAATTTTTTTAGATAATTAAACATAAGACCTTATATAATTTTACATTTTTGATGACGCGAAAAATATATTTTGAACGATTACAGAATAAATCTAGAGATTAAAAAATTACCAATTTTCCTTTTAAAAGTGGTAATAATTTGCGATAATTCATGCCAAAATTAATGAAATAAAAATTGACACATTGAAAAAAATTCCCGCGTTATTTGGCCATAAACGTTGAGTCAACTCGAAATCGCTCATGGGCGAATTCCCGTTCGCATTTGTATGCAATCGAACTCTCCTAAGGGTGGATGCATTGCAGTTTACAATTATTTGCAGACGAGACAGAGCAGCGGTGATGCGGGAGATGGCGCGGAGGGGAAGGAGGACACCGGCTCGGACTGTCCCCCACGGACACCGACGTCAACGACGATGACGGCATCATCGGTGCCGCAGTCGATCGTTCCGGGGTCGCCAAATTCAATGGTATGTCCCGCCACCGATGTCTCGATAGATCTACAACAGCGACGACGACGGCAACAGGAATCACAAGACTTATCTTTGACGCAGACGACAGTCACCGCGCCCTCGTCGTCCATCAACGACAAACCCCTCCTCTCTACGAACATCCTGTCTCTGCCGGCTTCGCCAAAGCGATCATCGGCGAGCAACGTTTCGTCCAGCAAAACGCCTATATCGAAATCGCAGATGAAGGGTGAGTCGAGATTTAAAATGTCCCTTTCAATTTGATCACAAATTTGATTTGTTTCATATAAAATAATCTTTTTTGCGCAATTTATTCGTATATTTGCTATCATAAAAGCGATGTATACATTAGATAGTGCTATAAATATCCGATATCGAAACTTGAATTATCGAAATTTATTTATTTACGAAAACAATTTTGATATTTTCATTCAAAAAATAAAATTTGAAGTCTAAACTCGTTAAAATGTCACTCAATAATTTCGGTGAAAGCAATCTCATGTTAATTATCACGAGATTTTAGCACGTTGCAATATAAATTCATCTATACTTTTTTTATTCGATGGCGTGGTGTCAAATCCTGGATGATGGAGATACACCGGTCAATTCAATTTAGTACGCCCCGAGGAACGATATCTCACCTGTTTGATGTCATCACTCGTTAATCCCGATAAAACTACATTCGCATGTCGTATAACTTCAGCATTGTGACTTTATTTAGTTTCGCAACCATTATTTTTTCGTCGTTATCGCTCTTAACAGGACATACATTCGAGAATCGAAAATCGACTCAATTGATCGAACAGATCGGTACGTGAGATAAATAATTTTGTATTGCGTACATACATCGTGTCAGCAGACGTCGAACGTTTTTCGCGTGTTGTCTGTCACGTGTGCGATTTGTTTTTCTTTCTGCCTTTACAAATATCACGCTGAAGAATATTATTCCACTCACATGAGGGTACACGAATAGTAATTTCCAATCGATGTCAAACAAATTGCGTTGTAATGCCTTTAATATCGTTTCACATTTTGTGTAGTATTTTCTTTGTTTTTTACATTTAATTATTCTTATTCTGCTATTCTTGAATTTTTTATCACAAATCCTCTGAAATTAAACTGGAAAATTTTTTAATCAAAGAGTTTATGCCTTCAATTTCTTAAAAAAAAAATAAAATATAATACGAATAGATAAACAATATAATAATATGAGTAGATAAACAATTTTTTCTTCTTTTTTAAATTTCATAACATATTTTTTATAGAATAATGATATATTATAAATAATTGTATAGAAATATTTATTCTACAAGATTGACTAAGCAATCTGCCGCTCATTTTTATTATATAATGTCTATAAATTATACATCTAACAAAACTTCCTTTAAATCAGAAATAATATTCTTCAAGGTGCTTGTGATTATCTTTAATAAAATTTAAAATGGATATTCATCAGTTATATTTTAAAAATACTTTAGCTTTGATAGAATATGTCCAACTACAAATAACCTATTTATTAAATTATGTTTTAAACAGTGCAACTTACGTAATCGATTACCTTTTAATTCTATCGAATATATTCAAAATTGCTTTGAAAATATAATACAACGATTTGCAAAAATAAAATTTACAAGATTTAAATTTCGCTTACTAATCTGCGAGAAAAAAGTTTTTTTTATTACTAACTTTATAAGATTTCATTTATTAAAAATATTTTAAAGAACTTTCTTTGAAACATAATTAGATATAAAAAGCAATCTTTCTCTTTCTCTCTTTTTCACTCTGCACTTATTTTTTATTATTTTTTTATTTATATTATTATCAGCTTTGCCGATTGACACTGCGATTGGAATTGTAAAATAAGAAGAAAGAAAAATACATACTATTGTTACATTTTATCATCTCATAACAAACATGAATTATACAGATTAAAAAATAATTAAAATATGTTTTCTTTACATTGATCTTTCTATCAACTCAGAAGAAAAATTTTTCTATACTTTGTTTTTATCTTTTTCTCTTTTTCTGTCACTCTCTCGTTTTATCTTTGCTTTTTTATTTTAATTTACATTATAATATATTACATTTCTATACACTATTGCTAAAGTTTGTCCAGATATTTCAAAACCATTCAATATATTTATTTAATTATTATGATGTTTAGTATCGAAATATTTTGATAGTAAACTTTAACTTTAAAAATTACTACGACTATGCGGCTTTAAATAAAGTCTTTATATAATCGCATTCTTCTTAAAATACTTGTTTTGAGAAACGTGATACGATTATAAATGAATCTCAAGATTCTACTTGGTACTCGTGAAATTATATTTGTATTTCCAACTCAACTGAGAAACTCAAATGAAATTTGTCTTGGGACATAAGCTTAACTTCTCTCTCTGATACAATTCAGTAGTCAATTCTTAAGAAAAAGTTGCAGTAATTGTTTTGTTTTATGTAATCAATAATGTTTATTGTGAAAGGAAAATTAATTTAAAAACTCTGTAAAATATTATCGTCTACTTTAATGTTTCAAAAGTTTCTGAAAATAAAACTAGAAAAAGAAGCGAAAGCAAAGATTGAATAATACGTTCCTAAGTAGACAAAAATTTATAAATGAAGAAGAAGGAATTATTTCATTTTTCAATCATTTTTTAAACTCAATTCTTCTATTTAAAATACGATTACTTAATCGTCTGCGTTTTAAGATATAATATTTTACATTTTCTAGTATTTTATTTGATATGAAATTCTAAAATGAGATTCAAGTAACGATCATAAATGCAGGCATAAGACACAATGATCGTCGATCACGTCGAGAATCGTAGCTTCCATTCTCAAACCAGCAATCGTGCGTGAATACGGACACGTGCAGGTGCATCGGGAATCAATGACGCGAGAAACGAGGCTATTAAACGATCGAGTCAAGCACCATCGAACTAAACCCGTACAGCTTGTACAGTCGTAGCTCGTCAAATTCGCTCGGGAATTCAACCTGTTAGCAACCACCTTTATAGTCAGTTAATCGGCATCAGTAACCGACTTCGAATAAGGAAGGAACAATTCCAGAGAGAGCACATGCTTGATGTCACAGTACCAAGATACTCAACATGAAAAATTCAAATTTATTCAAAGCGTATAATGCTACATTATCGTAAAAAAAAGAATAGAAAAATGCTCGAAAATTGCGTCACAAGTGAGATCACTTAACGTGGCGATAGATATGGAATATTTCATATATGAAAAGAAATATAGAATTTTATATTTTTTGAAAGATATTGAATAGTTGAAATAATTTCAGTTATTTCCAGAAAAAAAGCAAAACGGAATTACTCATATTTTTTTTTGCTTTTTTTGTCCTCGACAGAATTCCGAGAGGCCTTCAGGCTGTTTGACAAGGACGGCGACGGAACTATTACGAAAGAAGAACTCGGCAGGGTTATGCGTTCCCTAGGACAATTTGCGAGAGCGGAAGAATTGAGTACCATGCTGCAGGAAATCGACATTGATGGTGAGCGACAATTCTATTATCAATCTGTTAGAGATTATATACTAAAGTTAAAAAGTTGGAATTGTGCAATGTTTCTTCTCTCTGTTCACTTCAATTCGTTGGGAATATTATCGCAAAAATTTTCATTTTCATTGTGCCACGTATTTTAAGAAATTATATTATATTGTCGAACACACAAATAATTATTGGCAATTAATGTATAATTATTGGCAATTACTGCTGCATTTGTCTGATTATTATGAAAAGGAGAAAAGTAAACTAATATTTATGATTAGTATATTTATTAATCATTCGACGGAGATTTATATGCTGTAATTTTTTGATACTCGTACAACGTTGTGTGTTTATAACGGATTTATCCCATTAATACAAATATGCAGAAATTAGGCCAATTTATGCAAGGTAATTGTATTTGACATTTGAATGGTTCGATGAAGACTTAAATGTTGCATCCTATCGAAACGCGTGTTATTAAATAATTTATCATTGTGTGCGATATGATATCAACGCCTTTTATTTTTTCCGACAATCCATGCATTTTAAAAATTCTATTCAATTAAAAATTCTATTTCAATATGTATTACCGGATAAATAAATTACATTACACACTAAGTAACAATTTGCATAATATTTAATGAAAAAATTACAGACTGACCAATAAATATTCACGAATAAAATAGCAAACATGGAAATAAATTGAAGAGCAAATTTCCACAAAAATTTTGATAATGACTTTATTACTACTATTGGTTATAATGTAACATGAAAATGCATATAATATAACATAAGCTTGACAGATGACGTGATATTATATAATAATAACGCAGAATCTCACGCGCCACTATTTCTATGCAGCATCTCGTTGATGTACCAAGATTAAAGATTTAATCATAAAGCTGTCGGTACCCGTATGTATTATGCCACGGTTTGTGCAACGAAGCAAATTGCTAAAGTAGCAGAGAATATCGTCCGAAAGTTTTCCGTCTTTTTGCGTATCCACCATCGCCCGAGTAAAATCATGTCTGTCAGAAAATCGGCCTTAATTATAGTTAATTTTCACGAAGTATTCCCACAACAGCCGAGAGTTCTCTTGCAGAAACTCTTTATTACAAACGAATCCTCCGGCACTGGCTTATCTTTCGTCTCTCTTATTTGATTTCGAGAATTCTTCTTCAATTTCACCCCAACTATCCTTTTACGCCTTTTGCTATATCCAATTTTGCGTTATCTTCTGCGACCTAGGAATCCTCCTAGGAGGTAGGATTTATGGAATATCTTTGGAAGCGAATTTGTTGTTACATGTATGACGCGAATGGTTTGAAAACTTTTCCAATAATATATTTATCATCGGAATACTTTTTTATGCAGAACATAATTTTTTCGGAGCAAAATGAATAGCAGCGAAAAAAAATAGACAAAATCTTTTCAATTATATTGTATTGTTTTAACACATCTTTATCTATGCGTAGAATTTTTTATCAATCGCGACAGGCATTTCACAAATAGAGACTAAATTATTTATTTATGAAATCTACGATATACATGTGAGTAATTTACGTTTTGATTACTATTACCTGTTTAATGATATATTGCTATAAAAGTATTTGATATAATTGAAACTATCGCAATTTAGCATTTCATAATACGCGATTATTTAATACGTTCCGTCGAATATTCCGTGGCAGCAAATCGATGTATAGACGCCAGATGGTACAAGTTCTTGTACCTGTTGCTAGTCTGCAGTGATGCGCTATATCAGTCATTTTCTCTTTAATTAAGGGAATTACAAAGTGAAATATCCGTATCGCAAAACGACCGTTCTTTACTCTTCAAAAAAGAACTCGGCAAAAAGGAGGTTCAAAAAATTTCATACTTTTGGACCGTGCGTTTGCGTTTGTTGCGACAAAAAATTGGACAAGGAGATATTATTAAAATTTGCGTGGATATTTTGTGCGAATGTAAATCAAAGTTTGCGCATTTTCGGAAAAGTAAAGTAATTATTTCAGGTAAATCGTTTTAGAGTAACGAGACGTTATGCGCCCGCTAAAATTTCGCGTGAAAAGTAGCCACGGCCGTTGCTTTTTGAGCAGATTCAAAAGTGATAATAATTCCGCAATCTCGGGGATTAAGCCAACGATAGAAAGAGATTTCCAAGTTTAACCCTTAACCCGCCCGACACTCCAGTAATGTTCCGAGGTGAGCAAGAAGGGAATTTAACGGTCCGACACGGAAGAGAAATATCCTCGGGATTGTACAAAAATCGCGGTCGTAAAAAAAGACTGAGCGCGGCGGCAACGACGGGCAAAAAAGAATCTCGATAATCATCAACCTTCGCGCGGAGTCGTCTCGTTCTCCGAGATATTTCTGAGGGAAATTACTTTTCCCATTTGAAAATATTCAAAAATCCAGCATATTTTTGTTACGAGATACTGCTTTGCAAACCGTACCATTCTTGCAAATCGCACGTAAATTATTCAAAATTATCCGTCCATGCATGCTACATGTGATTCTATTGTATCGAATGATTATGTTACCCAACGGCCACATTTACATGAATAAAACAATGAAAAAAGAGTGCTGGTATTGAAATTGGTGCTCATCATTTTAACCCCGATGTTTTCACTGATGACATTCTTTCCTGCTGAGCAGATACCAGAATCTTTCTACGTAATATTTTTTCGTATTCGTATTTCTTATGGAAATGAGTTTCCGACCTAGTCATGCGGTTCGCAAGCTGTTGTTGCTGAAAAGATATGTTGTTAAGAAAAAAAAAAGAGACGAGAGAATCGACAGGAAGTTCGCAAACTTCGCTATACTCTATCAGATAGATTGTGTGCAAACTTAAGAGTTTTTTTTATTTTCTTTGTTCTGAAAAAAATTCCATTTTCGTAGATTACAAGGTACTGCATTGACGTCGTTCGTACATATATATGAACTTTGTTATATAGTTATGTTGTTGAGACTGTCGCATAGTAGACAAGAAAATTATCATAGCTCATACATTATCCGAAAGAAAATATTCCGAAGAGAGAGAACATATATTTTTTTTTATCTTAATATATCTTTAAGTAGTTTCTTAAAACTTATGTATTATTGAGTTTTAACTTTGTTATCATTGTATATCATGCAGTATACAATTTTTCAAGATAACCAAATTCTTTTATTTGGCGAAATTTTATTGCGCCGAACACAATTATGAAAATTGTGGCATAACAACGTCCGAAAACGAGGGTGATATTTAGAGAATCTATTGTATGTCACGTCCGCTCTAATAGCGTGTCATTATCGTTATGCGGTTATCACGATGCAACTGTTATTGTTATTGTTAGTGCAGTGATTAGCGCGGTGAATACCGACTTTTTTTTTTGCAAAAGATTCATTGGCAAGGATTTATGCATCATTATGCGAGCGGCCGAGAGGGAGTCTCACGAAGACGTCTCCTCGTTTAACTAATCGATTTATCTTACAAATGAGATTCGATTGCGAGCGGAAAGCGCGGCCATTACTTATTGTTAGTCCGCTAAACTAACGAGGGAAGAACTGTGAACTGATTGAACAGTTGCTCTGAACAGGGTTCTGAATCTTTATCGACGTATTCGCGACTGATACGTCGGAACAAAGCAATATTTAGAACGAGTAATTGCAGTTAATTTGTTTCTCCTCCCGCGCGCAATTAATTCTTTGACAACTTTAATAACGCTTTAATTAACTCCCCCAAAGCTTTTCAAGATTGCTAGAAATTTTGCATTATTTCACCATTCATCACACCATTACCATCATGTCAGCCTTTATTCATTCGCCTCCTCCACTCTTTTTTTTGATGCACAAAATATTCAAATATTTTATATACATATATATACAACGTATATATATGTGTGTGTGTATGTATGTAATAGCTTTCTAAGTGGGTAATTATGGACACATGTCGAATTGTGTCGCAGAGCGAGTTAAATGAAAAGGAAGATAATCTGCACCATATAGCTGCTACCATACAACCGTAAATGTAGCTTCTACATGTAAAAGAGAAAGAGATAATGATGTATATATATGCTAACGTTTTCGTCTATTAAGCGGCCAACGTTAGTAGCTTTAGGTTTCTGAATATATCTGGAAATGAAAGTCAAAGGTTCTTCATCTGACTGACGGTAATTAAAATTTATGTTAAGTACACGCGCGCGCTATCTACATACACACACATAGATAATACAGGTCATATGCTTCAAATACCTTGGCAAAAGGTACTTCAATGTTGATGTTTAATAAGCCGGAATTAAGTCTCAACAACGTATTAGACAGGACTCTACTATGGCAGCTTTGACATATGTTCTGCTTCCATTATTTAGAGAATAATTTGATGAGACTGTATTAAGATAATCTGACAAGGCGGTGTCAAACTCTGTGAAAACACATGTATGTATATGTATGTTAAAAGTCACGTTTAAAGTACAATTTGTTGAGAAATGTTAAATAAGAAGCAACCACATAAAACATATAAATAAATATTAAGATAAATTGACAGAAAGCGGTAAAATAAAAATCGACAATATTTAATTATGTATTTTATCAAAATTAAAAAATGGAAATACTGTTACTTTTCTTAAAAAAAATTAGAGATCTTAAAAAATCATCTAAAGAATATATAAAGAAGAAATATAATAAGAAAGACAAAATTTTTGTGAATCAATCTGTAGATATAGGCAAAATTTATGAGCAAATATCAAGTATAAATCATCTTAAGATTTCATAACTTTAAAGTACTTTCAAGAGATCGCCATTCATAAGATGCCATTTATAAGATCGCCATTTATAAGATGAAACAATTGTCGTTTGACTTTATGTACTTAGAGACGGTCACACACACCGGTCATTATATTTCTTGGATGAGTTTTCGTGACTTTGCAAGCTTCTTAAACGCTCTGTCTTTTTCCTCCCTAGCGATCGCGATAAGCGGAACCGTTTGACGTCGTTCCGCTGCGGCAAAAGCGAAAGTTTCAAGAAGT